AGTACGACCATGGAAAGTGTGAGTACTACCATGGTAAGTGTGAGTACGACCATGGTAAGTGTGAGTACGACCACGGTAAGTGTGAGTACGACCATGGTAAGTGTGAGTACGACCATGGTAAGTGTGAGTACGACCATGGTAAGTGTGAGTACGACCATGGTAAGTGTGAGTACGACCATGGTAAGTGTGAGTACGACCATGGTAAGTGTGAGTACAACCATGGTAAGTGTGAGTACGACCATGGTAAGTGTGAGTACGACCATGGTAAGTGTGAGTACGACCATGGTAAGTGTGAGTACAACCATGGTAAGTGTGAGTACGACCATGGTAAGTGTGAGTACGACCATGGTAGGTGTGAGTACGACCATGGTAAGTGTGAGTACGACCATGGTAAGTGTGAGTACGACCATGGTAAGTGTGAGTACGACCATGGTAAGTGTGAGTACGACCATGGTAAGTGTGAGTACGACCATGGTAAGTGTGAGTACGACCATGGTAAGTGTGAGTACGACCATGGTAAGTGTGAGTACAACCATGGTAAGTGTGAGTACGACCATGGTAAGTGTGAGTACGACCATGGTAAGTGTGAGTACGACCATGGTAAGTGTGAGTACAACCATGGTAAGTGTGAGTACGACCATGGTAAGTGTGAGTACGACCATGGTAAGTGTGAGTACAACCATGGTAAGTGTGAGTACGACCATGGTAAGTGTGAGTACGACCATGGTAAGTGTGAGTACGACCATGGTAAGTGTGAGTACGACCATCGTAAGTGTGAGTACGACCATGGTAAGTGTGAGTACGACCATCGTAAGTGTGAGTACGACCATGGTAAGTGTGAGTACGACCATGGTAAGTGTGAGTACGACCATGGTAAGTGTGAGTACGACCATGGTAAGTGTGAGTACGACCATGGTAAGTGTGAGTACGACCATGGTAAGTGTGAGTACAACCATGGTAAGTGTGAGTACGACCATGGTAAGTGTGAGTACGACCATGGTAAGTGTGAGTACGACCATGGTAAGTGTGAGTACGACCATGGTAAGTGTGAGTACGACCATGGTAAGTGTGAGTACGACCATGGAAAGTGTGAGTACTACCATGGTAAGTGTGAGTACGACCATGGTAAGTGTGAGTACGACCACGGTAAGTGTGAGTACGACCATGGTAAGTGTGAGTACGACCATGGTAAGTGTGAGTACGACCATGGTAAGTGTGAGTACGACCAAGGTAAGTGTGAGTACAACCATGGTAAGTGTGAGTACGACCATGGTAAGTGTGAGTACGACCATGGTAAGTGTGAGTACGACCATGGTAAGTGTGAGTACGACCATGGTAAGTGTGAGTACGACCATGGTAAGTGTGAGTACGACCATGGAAAGTGTGAGTACTACCATGGTAAGTGTGAGTACGACCATGGTAAGTGTGAGTACGACCACGGTAAGTGTGAGTACGACCATGGTAAGTGTGAGTACGACCATGGTAAGTGTGAGTACGACCATGGTAAGTGTGAGTACGACCATGGTAAGTGTGAGTACGACCATGGTAAGTGTGAGTACGACCATGGTAAGTGTGAGTACGACCATGGTAAGTGTGAGTACAACCATGGTAAGTGTGAGTACGACCATGGTAAGTGTGAGTACGACCATGGTAAGTGTGAGTACGACCATGGTAAGTGTGAGTACAACCATGGTAAGTGTGAGTACGACCATGGTAAGTGTGAGTACGACCATGGTAAGTGTGAGTACGACCATGGTAAGTGTGAGTACGACCATGGTAAGTGTGAGTACGACCATGGTAAGTGTGAGTACGACCATCGTAAGTGTGAGTACGACCATGGTAAGTGTGAGTACAACCATGGTAAGTGTGAGTACGACCATGGTAAGTGTGAGTACGACCATGGTAAGTGTGAGTACGACCATGGTAAGTGTGAGTACGACCATGGTAAGTGTGAGTACGACCATGGTAAGTGTGAGTACAACCATGGTAAGTGTGAGTACGACCATGGTAAGTGTGAGTACGACCATGGTAAGTGTGAGTACGACCATGGTAAGTGTGAGTACGACCATGGTAAGTGTGAGTACGACCATGGTAAGTGTGAGTACAACCATGGTAAGTGTGAGTACGACCATGGTAAGTGTGAGTACGACCATGGTAAGTGTGAGTACGACCATGGTAAGTGTGAGTACAACCATGGTAAGTGTGAGTACGACCATGGTAAGTGTGAGTACGACCATGGTAAGTGTGAGTACGACCATGGTAAGTGTGAGTACGACCATCGTAAGTGTGAGTACGACCATGGTAAGTGTGAGTACGACCATGGTAAGTGTGAGTACGACCATGGTAAGTGTGAGTACGACCATGGTAAGTGTGAGTACGACCATGGTAAGTGTGAGTACGACCATGGTAAGTGTGAGTACAACCATGGTAAGTGTGAGTACGACCATGGTAAGTGTGAGTACGACCATGGTAAGTGTGAGTACGACCATGGTAAGTGTGAGTACAACCATGGTAAGTGTGAGTACGACCATGGTAAGTGTGAGTACGACCATGGTAAGTGTGAGTACGACCATGGTAAGTGTGAGTACGACCATGGTAAGTGTGAGTACGACCATGGTAAGTGTGAGTACAACCATGGTAAGTGTGAGTACGACCATGGTAAGTGTGAGTACGACCATGGTAAGTGTGAGTACGACCATGGTAAGTGTGAGGACGACCATGGTAAGTGTGAGTACGACCATGGTAAGTGTGAGTACAACCATGGTAAGTGTGAGTACGACCATGGTAAGTGTGAGTACGACCATGGTAAGTGTGAGTACGACCATGGTAAGTGTGAGTACAACCATGGTAAGTGTGAGTACGACCATGGTAAGTGTGAGTACGACCATCGTAAGTGTGAGTACGACCATGGTAAGTGTGAGTACGACCATCGTAAGTGTGAGTACGACCATGGTAAGTGTGAGTACGACCATGGTAAGTGTGAGTACGACCATGGTAAGTGTGAGTACGACCATGGTAAGTGTGAGTACGACCATGGTAAGTGTGAGTACGACCATGGTAAGTGTGAGTACAACCATGGTAAGTGTGAGTACGACCATGGTAAGTGTGAGTACGACCATGGTAAGTGTGAGTACGACCATGGTAAGTGTGAGTACGACCATGGTAAGTGTGAGTACGACCATGGTAAGTGTGAGTACGACCATGGAAAGTGTGAGTACTACCATGGTAAGTGTGAGTACGACCATGGTAAGTGTGAGTACGACCACGGTAAGTGTGAGTACGACCATGGTAAGTGTGAGTACGACCATGGTAAGTGTGAGTACGACCATGGTAAGTGTGAGTACGACCAAGGTAAGTGTGAGTACAACCATGGTAAGTGTGAGTACGACCATGGTAAGTGTGAGTACGACCATGGTAAGTGTGAGTACGACCATGGTAAGTGTGAGTACGACCATGGTAAGTGTGAGTACGACCATGGTAAGTGTGAGTACGACCATGGAAAGTGTGAGTACTACCATGGTAAGTGTGAGTACGACCATGGTAAGTGGTAGGTGAGTACGACCACGGTAAGTGTGAGTACGACCATGGTAAGTGTGAGTACGACCATGGTAAGTGTGAGTACGACCATGGTAAGTGTGAGTACGACCATGGTAAGTGTGAGTACGACCATGGTAAGTGTGAGTACGACCAGGGTAAGTGTGAGTACGACCATGGTAAGTGTGAGTACGACCATGGTAAGTGTGAGTACGACCATGGTAAGTGTGAGTACGACCATGGTAAGTGTGAGTACAGCCATTGTAAGTGTGAGTACGACCATGGTAAGTGTGAGTACAACCATGGTAAGTGTGAGTACGACCATGGTAAGTGTGAGTACGACCATGGTAAGTGTGAGTACGACCATGGTAAGTGTGAGTACGACCATGGTAAGTGTGAGTACAACCATGGTAAGTGTGAGTACGACCATGGTAAGTGTGAGTACGACCATGGTAAGTGTGAGTACGACCATGGTAAGTGTGAGTACGACCATCGTAACTGTGAGTACGACCATGGTAAGTGTGAGTACAACCATGGTAAGTGTGAGTACGACCATGGTAAGTGTGAGTACGACCATGGTAAGTGTGAGTACGACCATGGTAAGTGTGAGTACGACCATGGTAAGTGTGAGTACGACCATGGTAAGTGTGAGTACGACCATGGTAAGTGTGAGTACGACCATGGTAAGTGTGAGTACGACCATGGTAAGTGTGAGTACAACCATGGTAAGTGTGAGTACGACCATGGTAAGTGTGAGTACGACCATGGTAAGTGTGAGTACGACCATGGTAAGTGTGAGTACGACCATGGTAAGTGTGAGTACGACCATGGTAAGTGTGAGTACAACCATGGTAAGTGTGAGTACGACCATGGTAAGTGTGAGTACGACCATGGTAAGTGTGAGTACGACCATGGTAAGTGTGAGTACAACCATGGTAAGTGTGAGTACGACCATGGTAAGTGTGAGTACGACCATGGTAAGTGTGAGTACGACCATGGTAAGTGTGAGTACGACCATGGTAAGTGTGAGTACGACCATGGTAAGTGTGAGGGTAAGTGTGAGTACAACCATTGTAAGTGTGAGTACGACCATGGTAAGTGTGAGTACGACCATGGTAAGTGTGAGTACGACCATGGTAAGTGTGAGTACGACCATGGTAAGTGTGAGTACAACCATGGTAAGTGTGAGTACGACCATGGTAAGTGTGAGTACAACCATGGTAAGTGTGAGTACGACCATGGTAAGTGTGAGTACGACCATGGTAAGTGTGAGTACAGCCATGGTAAGTGTGAGTACGACCATGGTAAGTGTGAGTACGACCATGGTAAGTGTGAGTACGACCATGGTAAGTGTGAGTACGACCATGGTAAGTGTGAGTACGACCATGGTAAGTGTGAGTACGACCATGGTAAGTGTGAGTACGACCATGGTAAGTGTGTGCAAGCGCACATGCGTGCACACACACCTGAGTGCAGGCGTCGGCATACTGGGCGATGGAGCAGAGCAGGTGCACTGCAGTGAGCGGCTCCCCCGCCAGCACCATGTTCGTCGCCACCACCTGCTCACCCCCACGCCACACACATGCCACCCAGGCCACCCACGCCACCAAATACAGTGGAGGAAGGTGGAGGGCAGAGATCAAAACGAGAGGAGAGAGGGGAATGATGGAGCCAGGTGGTGCATGGAGGGCAGCTTGCCTTGGCAGCCAGGTGGTGCATGGAGGGCAGCTTGCCTTGGCAGCCAGGTGGTGCATGGAGGGCAGCTTGCCTTGGCAGCCAGGTGGTGCATGGAGGGCAGCTTGCCTTGGCAGCCAGGTGGTGCATGGAGGGCAGCTTGCCTTGGCAGCCAGGTGGTGCATGGAGGGCAGCTTGCCTTGGCAGCCAGGTGGTGCATGGAGGGCAGCTTGCCTTGGCAGCCAGGTGGTGCATGGAGGGCAGCTTGCCTTGGCAGCCAGGTGGTGCATGGAGGGCAGCTTGCCTTGGCAGCCAGGTGGTGCATGGAGGGCAGCTTGCCTTGGCAGCCAGGTGGTGCATGGAGGGCAGCTTGCCTTGGCAGCCAGGTGGTGCATGGAGGGCAGCTTGCCTTGGCAGCCAGGTGGTGCATGGAGGGCGAGACAGCGGTCGCGAGCGCCACAGCGCGAAGGGCGTCGCGGTGGAAGGCGGGCGAGTCGAACGGTGTGGCCAGCAGCAGCGTCACCGCCGCCTCCAGATCGCCCACCATGATGAACCTGCCAGGGCACCGAGGGGAAAGGGGGAAGGGGGGAAAGGGGGAAGGAGAGGTGGGGAGGCAAGGAATGATTGGGGCACTGCGGGGAAAGCTGGTAGGAGGTGTGGCGTGCAGGTGAAGCCTTCCTCGTCATGAACCACAACTCGTAACTTGCTCTCACACCTCTCTCCCCTCCTCACTCCTCGATTCATAACGTCTTCGCCTAGCTTGGACCGTTTGGCAATTTAATTTAACGTTGGTGGGTTTCTGGCACGTGCCAAACCGGCCCGTCACAAACCGACCCGTCACAAACCGACCCGTCACAAACCGACCCATGGCAACTGGCACGGGGCCGTCCAGGTGTGCAAGTGGGCCGTACATGAGTGGGCGGCCCCCCATGTACTGTCCACCATGCTCTCTCATCCACACCTCACCCACTCGTGCAACCTCTTGCTGGTGCCATGAGTGCATGCGACCTGGCTGTGCAGTGGCACAGCCACACACACTGTAGGGGTGAGTGTTGATTGGAGTCACCAGTGACCGCGTTACTCACTCGTGCACGCGCTTGCTGGCAGCATCAGCGCCCGTGACCTGGCTGTGCCAGTGGATGCGCTCCTGCGCCATGCGCCGCACCCCCATCTCGTCCCCCCACACCTCCACCTCCTCCCCCACCGCCTCCTCGCCGTACCCCTCCCCGCCCGCCCCTGCTGCTGCCTGCCAGAAATGTGGGGCGAGGGGGGGAGGAGGGAGAGGGAGGGCATGACAAAGACAACAGCAGGTGTGAAGGGGTGGGGAGCAGGACAACACGGCGAGGGCATAACACGAGGATACACTGGAAGGAGGGAGCGAGAGGGAGATGAGCAGGCTGACATACATCCAGGTCCAGGCCTCTCTTCCACTGCTGCTCCTGCCGCTGCTGCTGCTGCTTCCCTTCTTCTTCTTCTTGTGCAGCAGCCCTCTCACTCTCTGCACTGTCTTGCTCTCGCTCCCCCTCTCCACTCCCCCCTGCGTCTCTCTCCGCCTCGTCACCACTCAGGCCTGCTGTGCCATCAGCGCCGCTACCACCACTACCAGCGTCAGCGGCGGGCGCGGCAGAGTCGGGCGGCCAGAAGGCGTGCGGCCCCGCTGAACCCTGCACGGGCAGGATGGGGCACGCAGAGAGAGAGGGGACGGGAGGGCAGGGGGAGGGGGGGAGGGGGGGAGAAAGGTGAGATGACACGGACACGGATGAAGTGAAGAGGAGCAATGCGCTCGGGAGGAAGGAAGGGAAGGGCGAGGACGAGCACACAGGGGACGCTTGGGAGGTGACGGTTGGGAGGCGAGGGGAAGCGGCGGGGAGGCAGAGCGCGTGAGAGGCAGTGCAGGCAGTTCCGCTGGCCTTGCGACAATCCGTTCATGCAGTGCAGTGCGGTGCGGTGGAAGGGTGGAGTGCGATGGAGGGGGCAGGCGCATCGAGCTGGGCAAGGAGGGCAGAGAGGTGAGGACAGACCTGGGCGAGGAGGCGCAGGGCGTGCGGCAGCAGCAGCCAGAAGTGCGCCTCCTGGATGTCTCCGTAGTGTGCCGCCACACACGCACAGCGCGCCGCCACCCCGCCCCCACACACCTTGCTGTACGCCCTCGCCGCCTCCACCCCCATCAGCTGCCCTGCCGTGGGGGGGTTGTGGGGGGGCGCATGGGCGCACGGGGCATGATGTGGGAGTGCATGGTGAGATGACGCACATGCATCCTAGATGCCACTCACCTCCTCACCCACTTGCCACCCACCTGCTGCCCAACTGCCACCACCTGCCACCACCTGCCACCACCTGCCACCACCTGCCACCACCTGCCACCACCTGCCACCACCTGCCACCACCTGCCACCACCTGCCACCACCTGCCACCACCTGCCACCACCTGCCACCACCTGCCACCACCTGCCACTCACCTCGGCCACCTGCCGCCCAACTGGCGCCCACCTGCCGTGCGCATGGGGTGCAGCCCCTTGAGCAGCACCTCCGCCATGGCGGGGTCGCCCACTCCGCCTGGCAGCTGCCCCCGCTGCACCACGTACGCCAGCAGATCGCCCCCTGCCCCGACCTCCTCCCCCCCCTCCTCCTCCCCCTCGCCCTGCCCCTCGCCCAGCTCGCCCCCATCCCCCTGGGCACCCGGGGGCAGCGGTGCCTCGAGCCATGCGGGGTGCACGCCCATCTGTAGCAGCAGGCGCAACGCCTGGCACGTGCAGGTGTGCACGGGGACGGAGATGAGGGGGCGAGTGGGGACAGGTATACAAGAAGGAGAAGGGTGGTGGAAAGAAACGGGAGAGCGAGCGGAAGGGCAGTGGAAGGATGTGACGGCAGGCTCAAGACATGTGGGCCGTAGATATGAGGCTAGTGTGAATTGCAGGGTGCGCCTCATCTCATCTTCATGCTGGCTGGCCTTATCCACCTCTCGCCCTTCCCAATCCGCATACATGCGTTGCGTGTTTTCCATCATCATTACATGGCTTCTCATGCATCCAGTTCGTTCCCTCGGGCCTCATCCCGCGCAAGGGTGTCAGGGACAACAGCAGTGCAGGGCGCAGCACGCACCAGAGCGCAGGGCGCGGGCATGAGGGCGACGGAGCAGAGTGGCGAAGGGCGGAAGCGGTGCCACACAGCGAGGCGCGAGGCGGGCGGGCGGTACAAGGGCTGCTTCAGTGGCGCGTTGCTGGGGGGGCATGGGGTGGGATGGCGACGGTTGTTGAGGGGAGGGTGATGAGCAGAGGGCGATGACACGCAATGCGGGGAGGGAGGGGCAACGTGGAATGGTTAAGAGAGAGAGGGAAATGAAGGAAGGACAATGGAGGGAGGGCAAGGACATGCGTGGGAGGGTCAATGGGGGGAGATGGTGGGAGCGGCGGGATAGTGAGCCCATGGCAAGCGTTGACAGCATGTTGATCATCTTCCCCACCACACCACCTCATTGCACATGCCATGCCATACCACCACCCTCCATTGGACCATCCATGCCACGCCCCCCAACCCCCTCGCGAGGCTCACGTGGCGATGTCGAGCAGGCGCACGGTGCCGTCAGCAGCGGCCACGCACAGCAGCTGGCGGGCGGCAGAGGGCCCTGTGGGCGAGGGCCCCTGCAGCGGCAGCCAGTCCATCTCCAGCACCTGCAGCGATGCCGCTGCCTCCGAGGGCATCGCTCCCGCCACAAACTCTCCCTCGTCCTGCACCGTGGGTGGGTGGGCCGTGGGAGTTTGGTTTGGGACGGGGTTGGTGCAGTTGTGTTGGGTTGGTCTCAGCGGGCACTGTGTGCGGTTGAAAGATGGTTGATGGCGGACGAATGAGGGCGGGGTGATGGAGGACGAATGAGGGCGGGGTGATGGAGGACGCACGATGGAAGGTGGAAGGTGCACGCATGGAAGACAAGGTTGAAAGAGGAAGCGCCCTGGTGGAATTAGGGACTGGCCATGCGTATCGGCAGCTTTGGCATGCTAGTGAGACTCTACATGACTTGTTAAGTGGCAACCCAAGCTGGACTGGCCTTCTCTTCCGTACATTGGGTCGGGTCCATTAAAGATGAAGTATGTGTCCATGATTTAACTTGACACAAAGGGAAAGAGGGCTGACCAGGTCAAAGAGGGCTGACCAGGTCAAAGGGGGCTGACCAGGTCAAAGGGGGCTGACCAGGTCAAAGGGGGCTGACCAGGTCAAAGGGGCCTGACCAGGTCAAAGAGAGCGAAGGTGTAGTCGTTGAACATGACGGCGATCCGACCGCAGCTGCTCGAGTTCACGAGCGTGGGGGCGAATCTCAACCGTCGGATGGCCCCTCGGTTGAGTGCGTGTGTGCCTGCTGCCCCCGACGCCACGTCCCACCACCGCAGCACGCCCGCCTTGTCCCCCAGCGCCTGGGGGCCCACGGTCAGGGGCGAGGGTGGGGAAAGACGGGGAGGGGGGAGAGGGTGGGTTAGAGGTTGGGGAGAGAGGGTGGGGGAGAAGGTGGGGGAAGATGATGGGGGATGAGTGAGAAGATGGCGTTTTGACGCTTGATGTGAAACTTCCAGGAAACTTGATGCTCGAGCGACGCTTGCCTGGGGAGATTAAATAAATGTCCCGGGCAGGCCGGAATATTTTGGGGAGAGGTCCAGGGATGGGGAGTTTGGTAAGCCTGGGAAGGGATACTATGGTTTCCATGTGAACTGCCACATCTCGCCAAGAAAATGGCAAGCCTTGGTGGTCGACAGGTTTTTCGGATGATGGTGGTTGGTTGGATTTTCTTACATAGTGTGGTGGAAGGCGGTGAAACTACTGGATTTGGTGTTGCGGGGTGAGGCGGAAGGGGGGGGGGGGGAGGTGGAGAAGTTGTTGCTTCACAGCTTGTTGGGCAAAATGTTGACGACTTCATTCATGATTTGCATTGAAATTGCAAATTCCCAAATTTGGCGCGATTTCATTTGGGTGTGGCACTGACGACGACGGGGGTGCGGTAAGCCATGGCTGTGACGAGCACGTCCACCGCCACGAACGATGCTGACGGCCACTTGGGCCTGCTCCCGTGTGCCCATGGGCGTGCAGGGGTGTGCAGGGGTGGGTGGGCACGGGATGGAGAGTGGGCGGGTGGGGAGGCAGAGAGAGGAGGACAGAGTGAAGCAGCAAGGACGTGGTTGCATGAAGAGGGAGGCGTGCAGGAGAAGCACGAAACACATGGCGAGGGAGGGCATGTGCGGGAGGTCGGCGAGGGAGGGCATGTGCGGGAGGTCGTGGCACGCAGGGGATGGAAAAGCCAGGAAGCTAGAGAGAGAAGCAGAAGAGAGGCTTGCACTGCACGCACCGGAAGTCGCGCACGCGCTTTCCTCGCAGCTCAAAGACGCCGAGCGAGCCGTTGACGAGGGCGAAGGCGAATGACTCGATGGGGTCCGACGCGGAGCGCGGCGTTGCTGCCAGCAGCGCTGCTGATGTTGGCGATGCTGGGAAGTCGTCGTCTGGCCGGTGGAAGGCGGAATGGACGATGAGATGAGAGGGGATGACAGTGGGAGGGGAGGGTGAGGGACGGTGATAGGGAGTGTGCAACAGGACTGGGAAGAATGCAGCGGAAATGAAGGCAGCAGGTGGCACATGGTGGGGCACGTGGTCATAGCGACGGGCCACAAGGTAGAGAAAGAGCGAAGAGCAGCAGCACAAGGTGGTGTGGCCTCTAGTGGCTCCACACACTGGTATGCGGAGCAGTGCACCGCAGCATACAGTGCAGTGAGAACATGACATGACATTATTCAGGGTAAATGCCTGTCTACTCCATCATGCATGACCCATCCCACCCCACATGCATCGTCGCATTGCCCTGCACACATCACTCCACCCTGCAATTATCACCGCACCACCCTGGACTTATCAGCGCACCACCGTGCACTTATCACGGCACCACCGTGCACTTATCACCGCACTGCACCACTCATCACCCACCGTGCATGTGGCGCTGCAAGGCGGAGTGCGGGTCGAGCGGCGTGGGGCTCTGCACGGGCGGCAGCGCCCACTCCATCACCGTGAAGGGCAGTGCGAGGGAGCGAAGCTGCATGGGGGGGAGGGGGCGAGAGGAGACAGCGAGAAAATGTACTAGTGCAGAGGCACTCCATGATTGTCATGGGAGGTGCATGTGGGGATAGAGGGGATGGGACGGAGGAAACAGGAAGGGAAGGGATTGGTGTGACAAAGATGCATCTGATGATGTGAGCCGGCATGGCAGGTGGCAATGGAGGATGGTGGGCAGTGGAACAAGGAGGATGGTTCTGCTTCTGCTCTCATGCAATGCAATGCCATCTCAGCGTGACATCTCACCATCTGGGGCGTTCGAGTCATGGCCCACACTTCAGCTGGCGCATCGCGGAACAGGATGAGCAGGTATCTGATCACACGCACCACCACGCAACACGATGAGAAGGGGAGGCGTGTACAAAACACGTGGGTGCATGAGAAGCAGGGTGCAAGAAGGGGTACTGCGGGCGAGCAGAAGACAAGAATTACGAGTGGGCGACGAAGCTTCGACTGTGGCAACCTCAGAGAAATGCGAGAGACACCTGACGTGGCATAGCATGGAAGTGATGTGGCGGAGCGTGGGAGTGAGTGACGTCACCTGCCGGAGGGCGAGGCTCTGAGGCCGCGCATGGGCGACTTGTCGGGCTGCTGCAGCTGGCGGAAGGGGCGCGACTCGCCGCTGCGGATGCACGTCACCACCACCCTGTTCTCGTACCCGCCCGCCTTCGCCTGGGGGCCATGTGCGAGGGGGGAGGTGAGCAGGGTCATGTGCAGGGCAAGTAGAATATTCGGCTAACGGATATTCGGGGTATTCGTTACTATTCGGTATTCTACCATTAACACACCCCCCACCCCCCCCCCCTCCCCCTCTCCCCACATGCGGCTATCATCTTTGGCAATCTGTCTACAAGAGGCCTCATGAGAACCGTGCTCAAAAGCCTAGCAAGATAGTTGCTGGAGCGGGATTAGGGAAAGTCTTGGTGCGGGATTGAGTCGTGGTGTTGATATTATAAGGTGCATTGTATCACCCTGTGTCGAACATGCATTAGCCGTTCGACACTGGCTGTACAAAATATATTATTACTCGAAACTTATTCGTATTCGATTCGGATTCGGCAGTATTCGGATCGTAATCGTATTCGGTTTTGGGTCAGTATTCGAATTGTATTCGTATTCGGTTTTGGGTCAGTATTCAGTCAAATAAGAAACCACCCAGTATTCGGAGAATATACAGGAAAAATATTCGTATTCGTATTCGTATTCGTTTGCACAGGCGGGCAAGTGACGCAGGCCGCTTGACCCATGCACTCTCTAGCCACAGCTGTGCACTCTATGGAAGGAGGCCACATAGGGACCTCCTTGCACTCACCCCACCCACACTCACCCACATCCCCACACTCACCCCACATCCCCACACTCACCCCACATCCCCACACTCACCCCACATCCCCACACTCACCCCACATCCCCACACTCATCCACATGATCCCCACACTCAGTTCCCTTACTTTCCCACGCCCCCTCCCTCCCATCTCTCCACGGCCACACCACACACGCACCTCTTGGAAGGAGAAGGAGACGAGGCGAGTGTTGCCGAGCCAGCGCACGCCGCGCACCATGGAGGGGTGCAGCAGGAAGGAGGCGGCGATGGCGTGCACCGCCGTGTCCACCAGCTCCACCCCGCCCTCCTGCGTTGCCACCGCCACCAGCGGCACCGCTGCTGCTGCCAGCGACCCCGTTGCCGTGCTCAGCCCTGCTGGGGGGATGCGGGACGAGCCATGTGGGGGGTGACAAAGAAGGGGGGGGCAGACAAGATGCTAAGTGATGGCAGGTTTGTACGAGGGTCAAGGTGGTGACGGACTGCTCTCACCACAGCTGGTGTGCGGGGCAAGGAGTGGTGGTGGAGAGGTGGGAGCACAGCACACATGCAAGAGGAGACAGCTGGTGTCGATGGAGAGGCGAATGCGTGGAGGTGAGAGGTGCGTGCAGAGCGTGGGGACGGGTGGCGCACAGCTGGTTGGTGCAGCAGTGCAGTGGGTGGCGTGGCACGCACCTGGCACACAGGAGAAGAGGGAGGGCGCGGGCACGGAGAGTGTGGTGGGCGCAGAGGAGAAGCCGTGGAACATGCCCAGCAGCTCCAACTGGTACCACGGCACACGCACACAGGGGAGGGTGGGGAGAAAGGGGAAGGATGGGGGGCATGTGTGGTGTGGAGAGGCAGGGAGGCACGGGAGGTCATGGAGTGGCGGGGTGCTTGAGGCTCCTTGCACTGCTGCCTTGCTGCCACGCGCCTCAACCCTCCTTGCCCCATCCCCCGTGCAATGCTACATGCCTTGCACCGCACTACACCGCACAGCACGCACCTTCATGGCCACCTCCACGCCATCGCCCATTGCGCTCGCCCCCTCTCCACCACCGCCCTCTCCGCCCCCCCCTCCGGCCCCCCCGCTCCCCCGTCCGCCCCTCGCCCCCCCGTCCCCACCGTCCCCTTTCTCCCCATCCCCAGCCCCCCTCACCGCCCCCTTGCCCCCCGACACGGGAGCAGTGGTGGCGAGCCAGTGCCAGAGCTTGTTGTCGTCGCTCACACACACCACCTGGCAGCTGCTCACGCCGTGCAAGCTCACACCCGCCGCCACGCCGCCCCCCAGGCTGCCGTTGGGGCGCGGAGTGGTGGCGGGCACGGCCTGCAGCACCAGCTGCGCCTCGCGGAACGGCTGCGGCCACAGCATGGCCGCCAGGATGCCCGGGGACGGTGCCGCACTGCCGGGCAAGGGCACCAGCGGCTCCACCGTGCGGATCATGTACAGCTGGCGGCCTCTGTGGAATGGGGGCAAGGGCGGGGACTGGGTGCGGTTTGATGGGTTTGGACGACAGTAATGGGCTCATGGAAGCATGATTGGGTGAAGCGCGGATAGAAAGTGCTTGATTTGATTACGTCACCGCACTGCCTTACTTTCCCCATGCCCATTCCCGCATGCCCATTCCCCCATGCCCATTCCCCCATGCCCATTCCCGCATGCCCATTCCCCCATGCCCATTCCCCCATGCCCATTCCCGCATGCCCATTCCCCCATGCCCATTCCCCCATGCCCATTCCCCCATGCCCATTCCCGCATGCCCATTCCCCAATGCCCATTTCCCCATGCTCGTTCCCCTGTGCTCATTTCCCCATGGTCCCCCACTCTTCCACCCCCCCTCCCCCCCCAGGGCGTACGGGCGGCGCTGCCACATGGAGAGTTTGCCGTCGGCGTGGAGGCAGTAGAGCACGTCGCTGGAGGGCGGCAGCAGCAGGCGGGTCAGGCGCGCCACACTGCGCGGCAGGGAGGAGGACGCCACGGCGCACCCGAAGTGCAGGTCGAAGCACACGATGTCGCGCGGCAGCACCGCGTACAGCAGGTCACGCGTGTGCGGGGCGAACGCACACGCCACCACCTGTGATCCCGCCCCCGTGGGTCCGCCTCCCCCTCCGGCAAGCTCTGGCAGGGGCAGCTGCAGCGTGGTGGTTTTGATGCTCACCCCCCTCTCCTTGCCCGCTCCCCCGCTACCCCCGCTCCCTCCCGCGCCCCCCTTGCCCGGCGCGCCCAGGTCGACCTGCAGCGCGAGCACGAGCCCCCGCGCGCCGTGCACGCACAGGCGGCGCGGGTCGTGGGGGTCCAGCGCCAGCGACACCAGCAGCTCGCCCGTGGGCGACGCCGACCCGTCGTACCGCCAGATGACACGTGGCGTCGCCGTGGCTGCGGCGGCGGGCGAGGAGGAGGCGGCGGCGGAGGAGGAGAGGTCCCAGACGACGGCGGCGCAGCTGGCGTGCAGCACGGCCAGCAGCCACGGCCGCCCCATCACCCACTCCACCGCGTCCACCGACCCCGCCGCCCCGCCCCCCGCGCTCCCGCCCGCGCCCCCCCCCTCCCCCCGCCGCCGACCCCCCGCGGTCGGGCAGCAGCCAGCGGTCGACCTCCTCGCGCACCACCTCCCACAGCGCCACGCGCCCCGCGCGGTCGCCCGCCGCCAGCTGCAGGCTCGACAGGTGCGCGAGGTCGCGGTCCAGCCCGCCCGGCTTGAACCGCGCCGCCGTCACCGGCACTACCACGCCCGCGGTCTCCGCCGCGCCGCCCGCGAGGCCCCCGGAGCGGTCGAGCGGCGGCGGCGGCGCGACGAGCGTGTGGACGAGCTGCATGCTGGCGAGGTCGACGATGCTGATGGCGGCGCCGCTGCTGAACGCCGCCAGGCCCTGCGGGCTGCAGTCGAGCGCGCTCACGCCGTCCACCACCGGCCCCGCCAGCGCGCCCGGCACCGCCGCGGGCGCCGCCGCCGCGGACGCGTCCATCACCATCGCGGTGGGGTCAACGAGGTGAGATCGATGCTAAGAAGGCAATGCGGTGCGACGAGAATGCATATACGAGTTTATTTCGGGTAGTTAGCTACTAATTTTGACGATTATGATGGAGGGGAGGATAGCTCTTTTGAAAAACAATGGCGGTGACGAAGGTACGAATGAACAGAGAGGTCATGCATGGACTGGGCAAATTCAGTGAGAGGCTGGTTGGGAGGGATAGATTCTGTCCGTACTCGATAGTACCGACGGGTGAACCTCGTCGTACCTTTCGCTGGTTTGTTTATGATAACTACATTAAAGCTGCATTCGTTTGATTAAGTATGTTCAACAATATTCCAACGTCCAAATCGTTGGAAGGTCATTTGAAACATTCCAGAAGTGCATCATTAGGACATTAGCCTCATATATATAATGCATGCTCACTCCCACACTATCGCAGTACATTCATATAGAGTAAGCGACAGTGGGGAATTGGAAAGTCAATAGTGGTAGCAAGTCAACTGTAACAAACCACTCGGAGGTTACGCGCTGCACATGGTAACTGTCGGGCATTAAAGTAGAGATGGCTGCTGCTGCGGCTGCCGTTGCTGCTGTTGTGGCTCCTGCTGCGGCTGCTGCCGTTGCAGGGGCTACTGCGTGGCTGCTGTTGCAGCTACTGCAGCAGCATATGCTGCTGCTGCTTCTACTGCGGTTGCTGCTGCTGTTGCCTCATAGAATGTCACGGGCCAGCGGCACCCCCAAGGTCCGAACCTCCTGCGTTAGGACCATTAGAGCTTTTACCTCTATTTCCAATATCAGCACCCCTAGAACCAGCACCCCCAGAGCCAGCACACACACTGCAATTGCACCCCCCGAACCAGCACCCTTAGATTTCACAGTGACCGGCTGCTGCGACAATAACTGGTGTGATTGCGAAGAAGGCTGCAGCGGTGACTGCAAGGACGAGGCGGCTGACCATAAAAGCCACACCGGCTATGTCTATTACCTCAATGGTGCAGCCATTTCTTGGCAAAGCAAGAGGCAGCCAGTGGTTGCATCGTCCACCATAAAGAGTGAGTACATCAGTCTACGGTATGTCAGTGCATTCAAGAGGTTGTGTGGCTGAAACGTTTGTTTGAGGGGGATGAGTTTCCTGGTGGTGTGCCTTTATTTATGGAAAACAAATCTGCCATTGGTCTTGCACAAATGTATGCTTGCATGGCCGCACCAAGCACATGCAGGTTCGGTGGCATTTCATCAAGGAAATGGTGGCTAGTGGCGAGGCGATCCTCCGGTGTTGTCCGACCAACCGTCAACCAGCTCACATGTCAGAATCCCAACCACTAGATGTTGGGATAAAAGGGCTTGTTTGTGTAGCGGGTCCGTGCGTCCATAACCCCCCAGGCGAACGTGCCTGTAACCCTCCAAGGATCAATCGGGGATCTCACAGTGCATGTCTACTGACATCACATACTCACCAAACCCCTTCCCTTTGAGCAGCATGGTGTGTACATATCATTGCTAGGGATGCAGCCCCATGTTGGCATGGTGCCTGCGCATGATGGGGGAGGGCTGGTGCTTTTCTCCCTTTACAACATCATGCTATGGATGGCGCCCCTCCCTAGGCAAGGGGGAGTGGAGTGAATATTTTTTCCCAGTGGTGTTCAGCCACCTCCAGCTCGAGCAAGGAGGAGTGATGTTTGTGTAGCTAGTTGTAGGCTATTGCTCTAGTGGTTGTGGGCTAAGGGCTTGGGCAAATTGTGATTGTCAGACTTGTTGTGGGCTGGAATTTAACTCGCACCAACAAACCTTTGTTATTCACTATAACACCTTTGGTGTTGATAGTTTGGCACTTAAGGTTGTTGGGAATTGTTGTAGGCCGAGGGTTGAGATTGTAGACCTTGTCAATCTCGTCATTATTCAGATCTAAACTCCTGCTAAAGCTATTCCTATATCTAATTCATGGCTTTCTAGTAATTTCGCCAGGATACCCTGTCGCGCTCAAATCGTGATAGCCATCAGCCTAAATCTTGGTTGAGGGCGTGCTTTATCATTATGGAGATACGAGATTGAGACCTTTCCAACGGGTACCTGCTCATATATTAAGATTACGTGAGCTTCACGCAATGATTTGTCAAATCCGGCAGATTCAATCTCAAACTACGCTCTCTAGATTCGCACGTGTAAAGAAGGACGAACAGCGGAATGGAATGCACTAGCAAGGGTTGGATGCAAGTAGCAAACCCTAGAAATATTGTACTCTCTATGGCATGCCTCACAATAGCCTAACATAGATATATTTATGTATTGACACACCCCCATAGGCTAAGTGAGGGATAGCGGGAACAACAAAAAGGTCACAAGACCAGTCAAGAGGCAACGCTCAAGGTGGATCTCAAGATCACCACACAGTCCGAGCACAAGCAAGCAGCCACAAGGCTAGTTCACATATAGGGTGATAATAGCAAAAGTAGTACAGTGATGACAACCCAGCAAGAGTAAGCATGCTGGTGTATATACATATAAACATATACCACAGTACAAGGCAAAGTCATGAGGTAAGCAAGTGAGGAAGAGTAGGCACAAGGCCTAGAGCAGTGCAGAAACGCTGATGATAGGGCCTTGGTGAAGTTATCAGCAGTGTTAGACTGTGAGGCCACGTAAGCAAGGCGAAGCTGACCACGCTGCTGTAACTCTCGTGCGAGAAAGTAACGAAGAGCAATGTGCTTCGTTCTGTGCTCCAGTCGATGCTCCCGACACAGGGCAATCATGGCCTTGTTGTCGACGTACAGAACCGGAGGAGAACGAGGCCGCTCACCCGAGTCAGTCAGCAAGTAGTAAGCCAGCGTAATGTCAAACTATGTTTTACATAGTTCATATAACTGCTTGTAGCTAGTTGTAGTGTAGTTCTTTCATGACTTGTTTGGTGGTGCACCTTCTTTTGTTCCTTTGCTATATGTTCGTGTAAACCTATAGTGAAGCACCTCATTCTCTATATTCTCCTTGCACAACCCACTCAACACCCTTGACCTAGGCTTCTAAGCCTAGGCCTTACCCAAACCCGGTTCCTAGCTAAACATCTTGACATGATATCAGAGTGGTCCCTCCTAGGACCTGTTTACTTTATGGGCCCACCAACTTTTGCGACTGCTACTGTTAGTGGCGCGAAATTCGTATCTGGCGATGTTTCTGCTGCTTGCGCTACCCCCCGTCGCCTGCCCGTCGCCTGCTTGATGCCCATGCGCTGCACTGTCCCCACGCTCCTCGACCCGCCGCTGCCTTCCCCGTCGGCCTTCCCCGTCACGCTTCTCCGTCGACTTTCTCGTCGCGGTTCCCTGGCGCGGAAACAGCGATGGTCGCGGTGGGGGGGAGAGGAGAGGGGGAACTGGGTGGCGGCTGCTAGCGACCACACCAGCGGCCTGCGAGCGCATTCACGCACGCACCAGCGACCCCACCAGCGTCTCCGCTAGCTCGCCACGACCCTGACGTGCCCCGCTCCCCTTCCAGTCACCCTCACCATCACTACCCCGTCCTGCTCGTCGCGACCCCTGTCACAGTTCACCCGCGGACCCGCCAGCAAGAGAGCCAGTGGACCCGTCAGCAGGCGAGCTAGCGGACTCGCGAACCCCCCTTCAAGCGAGCCCACGGACCCGCCGTCGGACCCGCCAGGAATGCCCGCCCTGCCGCTCGTCCCTGCCTCTCTCCCCTCTCGCGGCTGCTGCTGTGGGGGGCAGTTTCTTCGTTAGGAATTCTGTTGCTATCTCGCCAGTTGGGCAGTAGGTGAGTTGGACCTTTCGCTTGTGAAATTCGTCCTTCACGAAGAAGTAACGAAGTGCGATGTGTTTCGTGCGGTTGACGAAGCCGGGCTTGTTCGCGATCTTGATCACGCTCTGGCTGTCGTAAAGTAACTTGAATGACCCGTTCATCACCGTTTTGGTTTCCTGTAGGAGCTCCGTCAGGTAATGCCCTTCGCGAACTGCTGCGCTTGCGGCGATGAACTCAGCTTCGGCTGACGAGAGAGCTATGAGCTCCTGCTTCTAGGAGTGCCAGGAGATGGTCCCTCCATGTTCAAGTTCTAGAATATATCCTGTGCAGGACCTCCTGTTATCTGCATCTCCTGCGTGGTCAGCGTACACGTAGTCGGTAAGCTGTAGGTTAACCGTTAAATTCCCTTTGTAGGTGAGGCCGACGCCAGGTGTAGAGATAAATAATTGTAGGGCGCGTCGTATGTCTGCCATATTCTCCCCTTCAGGTCGGCGCAGGTACTGGGCGAGCTGGCAAGCAGCGTACGATAGGTCCGGTCGGCACATAATGGCAGCAAAGAGAAGGCACCCGAGCTGCTGCTGGTAGAGGCGATGATCAGTGGCGGATAGCAGGGTTGTGTCGGGCTCGTGGTTGGGTGGAGGCACCCTGAAGGGCGTGGTGAGATTGACGGGGGCGATGCCGAACATCTTGGTGAGCATCTCGGCATACTTGGCAACCGACAGGTGGATGGTATCGGCCGATTGCGTGACGTTGGCGCGATGAAGGGGTCGCTCAGGGTGGCGTGGTGAAGGGGTCCCTCAGGTGGGCGAGATGAAGGGGTCGCTCAGGGGGCGTGATGAAGGGGTTGCGGAGAGTTAATCTTCAACAGGTAGACTGGAGTACCTGGGAAGTCACGGGGTTGTACGGGTGATCGTAGCTTTGCTCGTGTTCTTTCGACTTGCGGGTTCAGAGGGCAATTTGGCAAGATTTTCACAAAGAAAAGTTGAGAACAATGGTACACAATGGTTTGGCAAATGTGAATACATCACGAACACACTAGCAACCTACCACAGGCAAGTCGACCTCCAGCGGAGCACTAGGGCGGCTTGCCAACGCCAAGTTGGCGGCGTGCCAACACATCTGGAAGGCGGCTTGCCAACGGCTTGCCAACACTACAAGTCGGTGGTCTGCCAGCGTCGCACCAGAGCAGCTTGCCAATGCTGCAGCAAGGCAGCTTGCCAGCGTTGCAATTGCAGTTGAACACGTGCGCACAT